AGTATAACTCTTAATAATAAAACTATTACTTAAATTAATTAATAAAGATTTAAATTATTTAACTATAAGAATACCTTCTCCTTAAGTACTCGTTTATCTCTTTATTATAATTTTAGATTAAATAAATTCCATTTAATCTCTTATATTAGATTAGGTTAATTCCCTTTAATCTATTAAGTTAAATTAAACTAATTCTATTTAATCCCCTTACGTAACCTACGATCCCGTTAGGCCCTATTCTTATCTGTATGCTAGCAGCTTATAACGCCGGCTAACTGCTTTAGGTACCCTTAGTTCGTAACATAAGCTACCTTCGCATTAGGTTCGGCCTAGGCCCGAGCTATTAGCTTAAGCCCATAACAATCGCACTCCGAATTATAACAGCCTCTATTACCAGTCCGAGTAAACAAAACACTAGGAAGACCTATTTATATCTCATATTATTATTTTATTTGTATTTGTAACTTTATAGAGCCCTAGAAGTTCTCCTTAATCTAGTAACTTTTATGATGGACTCGAGCTTGCAGCTCGGGTCTACAGAATCCCTGTAAGGTTCCCACTCAAACCCGGTTCAAGCGCAGATCGGATATACCTCGGGTTAAAAGGAATATTTATTAAGGAAAGAGGGGGGGTTTTACTTTTATATTCTCTTAAGCTTATTATTACCTTCTAACTGTATAGTATAGTAAGTTTTTAGAAAACTATATAATCTAGTTTTTCAGCTTATAATAAGCTAAAAGGACCCACTTTTTATATTAGCTGATTGGTTATAATATTAGTTAATTTATGTATTTATTATTATAATTCAAGTATCTTATTAGATTTATTATTAATTATTTAAGCTTTTTTAAAAAATTAATATTAAATCTAATAAATTCTTATATAGTTATGAGTTTTACGAATAAATAGTGCTAATTTTATACTATAAGCTAATATAAAAAGTGGGTTCTTATACGCTCTTATAAGCTTAGAACTTAAAAACTAGAAATGTAGTTTTTATAGCATAGTATAGTATAGTAATTTTTTATAAAATTATATAATCTAGTTTTTTAGCTTATTAAAAGCTAAAAGAACCTACCTTTTTAAAAAAGCTAATTAGTTATAATTCTCTTCGTAGGTATTTTATAGTAGAAGGAATATAGACTATAGAGTACTAACTACTATAGCGCGCTAAGGGGGTTTCTAGTAACTAATAACTATTCTCTAGCTATTATCTATTATAAGATAACTAAATAGAATCTTTTACTTAATATATAAGACTTTTAATAATTAGTAATAATTTAAGAGCTGTCTTATTATAGTTATGCTGTTACCAGAACTAGGGGCCGCGCGCGTAGGTACCTACCTAGGTGCAGGGTACTTAGGGACCTGCCTACTACGAGTCTACGTACTACCTAGTACTTGGGCAGTGACCCAATCACGAACGGGCTGGACCGCGCAACAGTGCCAGACAAGGCTGTAATTGCCAGCGACCCAATAGCAATAGTTGAGTTTGATGGACGAATCTCGCAACCCGTGTCAATCATACCATCTAAAATATCTCGTGTAATCATTCCTAGAAGCATATTTTAGAAAATTGTCACTATTTTCGCTTCGCAACACTTTCTCACGATTCTGATTGCCGCGGTAGCAACCCCAGCTTGTTGTTATTTGTGATCTGCCTAGCTAAGCCAGTTTGGCCATTACCTCTTGTGGGAGCACCACCTTGGCCCGCAGCCAGGAGCGAGCTGTTGTGGGAGCTGCCCTCAGGCCCACTACCGCCGCCACCCACGGTCGTCAAACGACATCATCCACCGCCCGCCTTCTTTCGCCGCATTGATTATCAACAGGACTGGCCCGCGTGCCACGAATACAGACTCATCATCTCAGGCGACCGCCATCTACCTCATCATCCACGACCGCTGCACGATCCTGGGACGCCTAAACGGTCTCCACGACACATTTTGCTGTCGCCGTCACCATACCGCTTGGTCTCACCAGCCTGCCACAATCTGACCCCAATCATCTTCGCTGCCGTTGCCACTTCCAGCAAAGATGGTGGACAGCGAAGTGAATTCCCCTACGTGGAAGTTCACACAGTATGTTACTTTCAATGGTGGTAAATAACGCGCATACTGACCGAATTACCTCAGATGCTTCGGCGATAAAGGTGATGTTGAGGATATAACTGAAGGTGAGCAAGCCCTGCTATGAGCTAACTAAGCTGTTCCTAGCTTTTCTTTCCGCTAACGTTCGTCTCACCGCCTATCAGCTGATATAATATCTACTGTCGAGTTTGATCATACTGGAAATTACCTTGCCACGGGCGACAAAGGCGGTCGAGTGGTCTTATTCGAGCGGAACGAAACGGTATGGAATGCCCAAGAGGCAAAATTTCTGCTTCTTTGGCTCAAAACATAGATCCTACTGTATCCATTGACACAAGTTTTCAGAAGAAATCCTGCGAGTACAAGTTCCATACCGAGTTTCAATCACACGAGCCAGAGTTTGACTATTTGAAGTCTCTCGAGATCGAGGAGAAGATAAATAAAATAAAATGGTGTCGCCGTCAAAACGCGTCTCACTATCTTCTGTCCACAAATGACAAGACTATCAAGCTTTGGAAAGTATTTGAGAAGTCACTCAAGGTTGTAGCGGAGAATAATCTCTCGCATGACCTTACACCCGGTAGCGTGGCTGGCGGAGGGGTCTCACGTCCGATGGCCACTACCCAGCACTTCCGAAACGCAGCAGACTTAAAGTTGCCGCGCCTAACACACCACGATACTGTTGTTGCTGCGGTCCCCCGCCGCACGTATGCGAACGCTCACGCCTACCATATCAACAGCATATCAGTCAACAGCGATGGAGAAACGTTTATTAGCAGCGACGATCTGCGAATCAACCTTTGGAATCTCAATATACAAGACCAAAGCTTCAATATTGTTGATATCAAACCTGCTAATATGGAAGAGCTTACCGAAGTTATCACGGCCGCAGAGTTTCATCCGCAGAGCTGTAACTGGTTCATGTATGCCAGTTCCAAAGGCACCATCAAATTAGCCGATATGCGGGAGAGTGCACTGTGCGATCAACATGCCAAACGTAAGAATTTGACACTCTATGTCCACCAACCATTCGGAATCATCGAGCTGACCACCCTTAGTCTTTGAACAAGAGGAGGACCCCTCATCCAGGTCATTCTTTTCGGAGATTATCTCATCTATTTCAGATGTCCGCTTTTCTTATGACGGCCGGTATATCTTGTCACGCGACTATCTCACCGTGAAAATCTGGGATATCAACATGGAACGTCAGCCTGTCAAGACAATACCTATTCACGAACACTTAAGGCCGAGACTTTGCGATACGTACGAAAATGACAGCATCTTTGACAAGTTCGAGGTAGTTTTCTCAGGCGACGCGAAGAATGTCATGACGGGAAGTTACAACAACAATTTCATGATATACCCGTCAGACCCTGATAAGGAAGTTGAAGTTGTTCTGCAGGCAGACAAGTCAGCCTTCAAGGCCAAAAAGGTTGGCGTTCCTACACCTATCAACTCCTCGACAAGCCCAACGACAAATGGGGGCAAAAAAAATGGATCTAGAGCCGGCAGTCCTGCAGGCGGTGCTCAACGCATGAGAAAAGAAACGGACGCAGACCAGATTGATTTCAACAAGAAGATTCTGCATATGAGTTGGCATCCTTTTGAAGACAGCATCGCTATTGCAGCAACGAACAATGTATGACGACATTCCTTTCACCCTTTTGTTGATTCCGAATGCTAATACCTTTTCCCCCTAGCTGTTCGTATTCTCAGCCTTATAAGTGCAAATGTAGTTTATTATGGTTGTCAGGAGTGCTGAGGTAATCCACAAAGAGCCAGGAGAAAGACAATTAGAGGGCCGTCAGCATTCGAATCCAGGAACCGGGTTGGCAGGTGCCCTCCAGGCTCAGATCATCAGCTAGGGGAGGAACGGTTAGGGACGTTATACCATAGGTCTGGTTTGTCAGAAATCATCATTCAGCATTGCATTCTCCATGCTGAATCACCGCCCTAATGCAAGCTTTGCAAATCCCTCGATGGTTCGAGGATGACATGGGGCCAAGAGGCCGTAGGCGGTAAACATCCGCGTCGGCAACGATGAAACAAATCTTCCGGAAAGGGCTACCTTATTGATTGTTACACAACCAGATAACATAAAGCCAAGAGACTGAGCGCCTCGGATTCCACAAGATATGACATTCTCTGCACGTGTGACTTACAACAGAATCTTCACTTGTCCTCATCGGAACGTTTTATAGGTTGATGCAACTCAGAAGATAAGAGAAAGGACGTGTTATTCATCAACTATGTCTCGATATGCCCCTCCAGATTCATGTTCCATACTTATTCCGTTTTTCAGTGCAATGAGGTAAACCCTTCCCGGTTCAAGACATCCAAAGTGTCTACTGGATGAAGAACAAATTACTTCAATCACAATGAGAAGGCATGGAATGAAGAACGTCATTAACAGGTGTACTGACCACATCTTCGGATCAACTCACGTTTAAATAAAGGAGGAGTAGTTGAAGTGCCATCTGTTGCGCATGACGGATGACTAATTATCGTGCTAGGAAGAGCGTAGCGTTCACTTAGGCAAGTCAATCAGACCCACTTCAGGTGAGCAATTTCAGGAGCCAGATGTCCGAACGTGGGCCTAATACGTTGCTTGATTCACGAAGTTGATCCATGCACACGATCAAACATCAGACTCTGTGGCAAAGAAACTGCTGTGGTATCTACTTGTTGTTTCCGTTGAAAATTATCAAGGCCAAATACTGTGATTGAACGTATTAGAGGAGCAATCCCATTGTGAGTAACTCGGCTTACCTCTGATAGCACCGGCAGAATCAGTCATTGCTCAAGAAACCTCACCTAGGCCCAATTCTGATTGATGTCCAAGTAGCACAATAGATAGACGCAATGGTGGGGGATATCGCACAATATCGAAATGAAAACGGAAATCACTCCAACTCTGGCAAGGCGCTTCAGGCATCCATGAGGGCATTTATCGAGGTCGCACCGATTCTCACCGTGGCCGCAATGCTCAGTCTCATATTCGGGGGTTGCTGTTCCAATGTATGATATCCCATCTCCATTCTAACAAGATATGCATTGATTCTAATACTTATTGTGCTCAAGGTTTACGCTCTGGAAGCAATTATTAAGTATGGAATATCTCTCGTACGTGATCATTCGACTTGAGGAAACATAGCTAACTCGCCGTTGCGAAGCTTTGAGCCAGGAAGTGGTAGGGTCTTATCCATCCATACATGCGCGATGATATCTCTAGTCGTTGGCTAATTCTCCTAGCAGGAACGCTCCTGACATTTGCACAATTCTGTTTTGTCGCAATGACAGGATACATAGTGCAACTGGACAAGAGTAGGCCGCCATTTTTTATAGCGCCTGCCAAGGTTCCTCTACGGCGGTGGCTAATCAACATCGTGCTCTTTTTTTGTATAAATGTGCTGAACAACCACGCATTCAGCTACGATATTTCGGTTCCAGTACATATTATCCTGAGGTCAGGAGGTAGTATTACTACAATGATTGCAGGATACTTGTATGGGAAGAGATATGCTCGATTGCAAGCTATCGCCGTCATATTCTTGAGTGTCGGCGTTGTTCTGGCAGCTTGGTCGGATGCCCAAGATAAGGTTAGTCACCTGATATTTAATAATTTCGCCTGCGAAATATTAATATGGGATGTGCATTAGATTGTTCTGCAACGAGACTCTGGTCGTCCAGCTTTCAACTCTGGTCTTATCATCTTGCTGGTAGCCCAAGTCCTCTCCGCCATCATGGGACTGTACACGGAGGCAACTTACCGACAATTCGGGCCCCATTGGAGAGAAAACTTATTTTACTCACATATGCTCTCGTTGCCTCTCTTTCTTCCGTTCGTGCCATCAATGATGCGAAACTTTAAGAGCATGATGCATAGTAACATACTGACCTTATCAATACCTTGGGCAAACTCTTCAATCGCAACACCATTTCCAAGCCAACTTGCATATTTAGCCATCAACGTACTCACCCAGTATGCTTGCATACGCGGCGTCAACGTGCTTGCAGCGAAGTCTTCAGCTCTTACAGTCACGATTGTACTGAATATAAGAAAGCTTGTAAGCTTGTTGCTTAGCATTTGGCTTTTCGGCAATTCCCTTGCCCGTGGCACCCTCTTCGGGGCGATAATAGTTTTCGGGGCCGGGGCATTGTACTCGTTTGGATCAGCACCAAAACAAGACAGTGGTGGAAAAAAGGTCGTTTATGTGAAGCAAGAATAGTCCAACCATCTAGAGCGGGTAATAGAAATCACTAGATAGTAGAACCTTCGCTTGGTGGTCTCAAAAAAATGTGGACAGCTTTACATGAATCCCAACCCCAAGATCTTGAACACAGACGACCATTTTCTGGCTATGGTCTTGCTTGCTATCCCGCTTCCCCCCTTCCAACCAAAAAAAAAAAAAATATGCTATTAAGTTTTTTTTTAAAAATAAATAATAAAAAAGCACAATGCAAGTATCATACAAGCATTACATCTCAAACACCGTGTTTAGCTGTACTAAGCTAGAGAACTGTAAGATACCACGTAATGCACCATAAACGCCATCGCGATGCGTCAGACACGCTAGCATGATTGGTGATCCAAAAAAAAAAAGGCACCAAACATGTAGCTAAAACAGCTGCTAAAGAGGCAGCCAAAAAAGCAGCTAAATAATACAGCGTTGTTAGATTTAGCCTCAGCCCGGAGGGTCATTACTCGTCTGCAGCCTTGTTCGGACGTTCAATGTTGACTCATGCCGGATACAACCCCTGTCTCTGAGTATAGGCACCTTCCGACAACCCGAGCCCTCGGACCCCGCCAATGGCCTGCCGGGACCCGTAATGCGTGTTGCATGGGTCAATACCCAACACCACCATCAGACTAGCTCAGAAATCCAAACGTCTGTCCAGTCGGTATATAGGATAAACCTACCTAGGTACCCAACGTATTCCATTCGGCACATTACAGCGACGAGTCGGAGGGCTCACCTTGGCTTCAACTACTCGCCCCCATCCTTAGAACTCCAGCCCTGCACGTATATCTGGTTCTCAATTTCAATCAAGAGACCTTAAGTCTTGTCCACACCAACATTGCCGCAGTTCTCGATAAATTCATTGGTGGCATCCTCGCAGCCTCTCCCGAGTAGTCGGTCGCATTGCCATCTACGAAGAGTTGAATAAACTACGGATAGCCAGTGTTCGCTTGTCACCTGGACACAGCATGGCCGGTGAGTCTACACAATATGTTGCACAGTTCTACGCAAACTTCTTGCATAATCTTCTCACTCCTATTCTCGATTATGTTGCAGGATATTGTCTTGCATCTACTCATCACAGCTTGGCTAACGCTCAACATCCTGCAGATAACGCTCAAGATTCTCGAACCCGGCCAGCTCGACGTGAAGATGCTGAGCAGGACGATGCATATTTGGGAAATGGCGAAACAGTCGAAGGAATAGAAAACGGCGAGAGGAGCTTTTCTTCTATGCCTGCAGACGAGCAAGCCGGATTGCAAGATGGCATGTTGTTACGAGATGTTCCGAAGCGCACAACCTTCTACGATCCTGTCGCGGAACGGCAAATGTCGCAAATGGATGCAAAACTCTTCTACCAACGAAGCAAAATTGATCTTCGCAGTGGAATCGCAGGTGCCAGTAGTTGGACTCCTTCAAACCCCAACAGCCCGACACTGGCGTCGGGGTCCCGACCTGTTACAGAATATGGGGCTGACTCTTTAATTCTTGACCAAGATGGAGGTGGGTTGACAACCAAAGGATGTAATGTCCACCAAGTGACTAACACATTCAACAGTTGATGACACCGAAGTTTCCTCAATGCCTCAGAGCTTTGCTTACAATCATCCTCCCACTAGCTCCGGTGCTATTCTCAACTCTAGAAATAGCCAGAGCGAGGTGAATAATACCAGACATGCTGCCGAGGGAAGCATGGCCGGATTTCCCGGTAACACTGTTTTCGATACCGAACCTCATGTTACGGCCGAGCTAAGTGCCATCTCCCAAAACATTCAGAAGGTGTTGGACTTGAGACGAAAGTACATTGCACTGTCGTCTCAAGGGCCAGGTGACAATCCTAGAGACCAATCCAGCTGGGATATATATCCACCTCCACCTGAACCAGCCTGGGCTCAAACGAAGGGTGGTCGTACCGACTTGCCTGATGCTCTGTCTTCTGCCCAAGCAGGGCACAACGACCACCGTCCTTCTTCCGGTTGGAGAAGGAAACCAGATCTCAATGTTGGAGAGGATTTCAACATGAACGACTTACTACCATTGCCTCGGGATGACGGTATGGCCTTCAGACTCGATGATAGTGGCGTTTATCAAGTGTTTGACAATGATGACGCCACGCTGCCGGCAATCAAAGTTCCAACCATCAGGGAATTTTATATGGACCTCGACAGTATTCTCACGATTTCATCGGATGGGCCCAGCAAGAGCTTCGCATTCCGGAGACTACAATATCTTGAAGCAAAGTTTAATTTATACGCTCTGCTCAATGAGTACCAAGAAACGGCAGATAGCAAGAAAGTGCCACATCGAGACTTTTATAACGTTCGCAAAGTCGACACTCACGTTCATCACTCTGCTTGTATGAATCAGAAACACCTACTAAGATTCATCAAGAGTAAGATGAAGAAGTATCCAAACGAAGTAGTGCTATTCCGAGACGGCAAACATTTAACCCTTGCAGAAGTGTTTGCTAGTATTAATCTTACTGCCTACGATCTGAGTATTGATACACTCGATATGCATGTAAGACTATCATAGTGCCACTGCCGACGCACAAACGGACTTGCAGACACTAATAACCCACTACACTAGGCACATACCGACTCATTTCACAGATTTGACAAGTTCAATCTCAAGTATAACCCCATCGGAGAATCTCGATTGCGAACAATATTCCTTAAGACGGACAATTTTATACACGGACGATACTTGGCAGAAATTACTAAAGAAGTTATATCGGATTTGGAATCAAGCAAATATCAAATGGTCGAATGGCGTATTTCTATATATGGCAAATCCATTGATGAATGGGACAAACTGGCAGCTTGGGTGGTGGATAACAAGCTCTTTTCGCACAACGTGCGATGGCTCATTCAGATTCCCCGACTTTATGATGTCTACAAAGCAAGCGGTCTCATGGAAACGTTTGAGCAGATAGTCAAGAATGTCTTTCAACCACTTTTCGAAGTAACGAAAGATCCATCCAGTCACCCCAAACTACATATCTTTCTGCAGCGAGTCATCGGGTTTGACAGCGTCGATGACGAAAGCAAGGTAGAACGACGGTTGTTCAGAAAATTCCCTGTTCCACAGGTATGGGATTCCAAACAAAACCCCCCTTATAGCTACTGGATCTACTATTTATTCGCCAATATGGCTTCTCTAAACCATTGGCGCAAGAAGCGCGGGTTTAATACCCTTGTCATGCGCCCACACTGTGGCGAAGCGGGCGACAGTGAGCACCTCGCAGTAGCCCTTCTCTCATGTCACAGTATTAGTCACGGACTATTACTCCGCAAGGTTCCTCTGCTACAATACGCGTTTTATTTAGAGCAAATAGGAATTGCTATGTCGCCTCTCAGCAACAATGCCCTATTCTTGGCATATGAACGGAACCCATTTTACCAGTACTTCAGACGTGGGCTGAATGTTTCACTCTCGACAGATGACCCATTGCAATTTGCGTTTACCAAAGAGCCGCTCATAGAGGAGTATGCAGTCGCCGCGCAGATTTATAAGCTTAGCTCTGTGGACATGTGCGAACTGGCAAAAAATTCAGTCAAGCAAAGCGGATACGAAGCATCCATTAAAAGAATGTGGCTTGGGCATAATTTTGAAAAACCGGGCAAGGATGGAAATATGATGGTCAAGACCAACGTCCCAGACCGTCGAGAAGAGTTCCGATATCACACTTTACTTCAAGAGAGAGACGTGTGAGTAGCCCCAAGCCAGAGCCAAGATCCTGGGTGTGAAATTTTCAAGATTCGGTACTGACGTCGTCGCAGATTACGGCGATATGTGGCATATGATGGAACTAAAGAAACGAGCTCGACCGTGATATCAGCAGATATGTCCGCCTGTAGAGCAGCCTCTCGGGCGAACGAGCCGTTAAAACCGACAGGAATTGGCGAGAATACGCCTCGAGTTCAGTCTAGGGCTACAAGCGTGGGCGTCAAATCTCCCCTCAACGGCGAAGCCAGCCGCGACTCCGGGAGGGGCCCAGATGCTATGGCAGATTTACACTTATCTGGAAGCGACCCTAGATTGTTCCCCGGAATTTTTACTCGGGATCACCGATCTGAGAGTCTGCGAAACTTGCAACACGCCGATGAATGGGTCGTTGACTCAAGTGAGGCGCCTGGGGATGACGACGAAGACGAGTTATAAAAGTCTCTTGAATCGGTACAAACCTGGTACTGGTCAATTCTTACCACTAATAAGGGGCTATGAAGCTATTGACTTTTTTTCTATGGCAGTATCGTAAACAGTGTGCCAAAGTATGAGGAAAGAGAAGGCGAGCAATCAGCGCTCCTGACAATTATTTTTTTTTTATTTTTTTTTTTTTTTCTGCGCCCGGGGGGGGGGGGGGGGGGGGGGGAATCCCAGCGACAGAATGTCTTGTTGTTAGGTTGTGACTTCGAACAGCTATTGCGGAGACTACGTTCCATATGAGCCACTTGAGGACTGTCACGAAGTAAAACACTACCTAGTACCTAGTATATAGGGATAATGTTAAGCAATGGAGCTTAACAGGATCATGAAGTAGTCAATAGCAATAATCTAAACCCTAGGCATGGATGCCCAACTGCAATGTATTGAATCGAATCGCCCACGACTATCTGGCCGACATCATGCTTGTAACAGCAAGCATAGACTCTTGGACACTCTTGCTGATTATTTTGGTCGTGATTTGAAGAAGATCTGGTTTTTTAATTTTTCTATCATTAAGTAATGCAGCGTTCAGACCACTGAGTAGGAGTTTTCACGGAGGGGCGTTCCATGCGTCACCGAGGTAGCCATGTCGGGCCCACCAAGTCACGACCACCCCTTGCAAGTTGAGAGTGAGCTTACCTAACCTGCTGCTCCAACGTCGTCACCATCCACCTCCTCCACCACAATCAACTTACCTACATGTGCTCATTTCTTTCACATACGTCTCCTAACCTGCCGAGCTCGCGTCGTTGGAACGCGACATACGAAAAGCCCAGGAAATCTTGGTGGTGCGTAGCACACACGCGCCATCTCTCTTGACGACGCCGACATGGGATTTCTAGGTGTGTACACAACGATTTACGATTATGAACCACGAGCCGAAGGCGAGCTGGCCATTGCCGAAGGTGATGTGCTCTATGTACTGGAGAAGGGTGAAGATGATGGATGGTGGAAGGCCAAGAAAAAGGCTGGTGCGGAGGATGAAGATGAGCCGGTTGGTTTAGTACCAAATAATTACGTGGAGGAGGTAGGTTCCGCGGAGAGTATTTTTACTCGAGGGAAACGATCTCGTGTTAATCCATTATTCGTATTATAGGCTCCGATTGTCAGCCATGCCCGCGCTATTTACGAATATACCCGCCAGACAGATGAAGAACTTTCTTTTCCCGAAGAAGCCGTACTGCAAGTGTTCGACACGTCCGACCCTGACTGGATACTTGTTGGTCTTGACGGCGAGTATGGGTTCGTTCCATCAAACTACATTGAAATGCAAGAAGAGAGCACAACCCAAGACTCTCTAAGCTTGCCTGCGCCACCCGCATTGCCAGTAAGGCCGCATTCGGTTGCCGCACCGAAAGAATCACCGTCCAACACAACTTCATCCCTATCGACATCGGCGGCTGCTTTAGCAACCGTTATTCAAGGAAAAGCCGGGGCGTCGACGCAGAACCCATCCTCACCGCCTACACAACAGCCGACAGGACACCAGACGCAACATGACGAGTCTCGCCCGTCAGAGGATCGTGAGGATAACCCCGAGCCTCGTTCTCCGGCGTTGCCTTCCCGTCCCCGACCCACAAGCACAATTGATCACGCCCCTGAGCGCTCATCTTCTCGACTGGAGGCACGCGAGGCTCAGCTGACAGAGGAACCATATCGAACACCTGGGGGGTTCCACATGTACAATATCAATGAAATGGTGTCTGTGATGGGCAAACGGAAGAAGATGCCTACAACCTTGGGCATTAATTTAGGCACAGGCACGATTCTCATTGCTCCTGAACGTGCTGAAGACGACCCTCCACAAGAGTGGACTGCAGAAAGGATGACGCATTACTCCAGGGAAGGCAAGCACGTTTTCATGGAACTCGTCCGTCCCAGTAAAAGCATTGACTTCCACGCTGGCGCCAAAGATACAGCGGAAGAAATTGTGGCAGCTCTAGGAGAACTCTCTGGTGCAGTGCGTGCTGAAGGTTTACGAGAGGTTATTATGGCGAGCTCGCAACGCAGACAACGCAAAGGACATGTTCTGTACGATTTTATGGCACAGGGGGATGATGAAGTTACTGTTGCAGCCGGTGATGACGTTGTAATCATTGATGATTCCAAGAGTGAAGATTGGTGGCAGGTCCGACGAGTGAAGAATGGCAAAGAAGGCGTCGTACCCAGCAGCTATATCGAAATATCCGGAACTATATCTCCACCGCCTTCAAGCAATTCCGGGATCGACTCTGCTAGGGCAACTGTAGAGCAAAACCGGCTCGAAGAGATCAGGTTAACCAAAGAGGCCATAAGAGCAAGCAAGGAGCCTCAGCAGGTAGGGCATGGGACGCCTCTCCCTGAAAGAGGTAGCAGCCTTATAGCCGGAGAAAATGGTAATAATTCGAGGCAACAGCGAAGCCGGCGGGAAAACGGACGGAACGAGGTCGGGAATCATCACAAATCAAAATCAAGTTTGTCAATCTCCCACGATTCCTCTGATTATAAGATATAATCGAACTGACATTAACCATAGAGCCTGACACTTCCAAGTTACGAACATGGACCGATAGATCAGGTTCCTTCAGCGTTGAGGCACAGTTTCTCGGGCTCAAAGACGGGAAGATTCACTTACATAAAATGAACGGAGTCAAAATTGCGGTTCCGATTGCGAAGATGTCACGCGAGGATCTGGAGTACGTTGAGAATGTAACTGGCATTTCTTTGGATGACGACAAACCATTAGCGGATGTTAAAAGGACGAAATTGATGGACAGGCGGCCTGCCGAGGTCGGCGCGTCAGTTAGCAAGAATCCCAAGCCAGAGTATGACTGGTTTCAATTTTTTCTTTCTTGCGACGTTCCAGTTGGATTATGCGAACGATACGCCCAAGCCTTTACAAAGGATTCCATGGATGAAAGTGTACTTCCCGACGTTAACGCCACCATCCTTCGGACGCTCGGTCTGAGGGAAGGAGACATAATCAAAGTCATGCGCACATTAGACACAAAGTTTGGCCGCGAGCGTAACGTTCAAGACCCCGAAGCAAATGCCGGGGGGCTCTTCTCTGGCCCGGGCGGGGCTCTTCGAAACAATACTAGAAAGGGACGACCTGCGCCGGCGGTGCAAACAAGCGACGTGGTAGATGCTGCTGCCTTCTCCAAGGATGACGTTGGATTGCCTGGTCCTAGTTCTAAGAATGCTGCATCTCCTTCTGGGACTAGCCCTACCAGAACTGACAACCAAAAAAGTGGTTTTGATGATGATGCCTGGGACGTGAAGCCCAGTAGTATTCCTGCAGGCACCACAGACAAACCAGCAAAGCCTCTTGCTGCAGCACCTGCAATGCAGCCAACAACAGCCTCAAACTCAGCTATTGCGCTGGCTGGCTCAATGAAGGAGTTGTCGCTATTGACAGAGCCCCTTCAGCCAAGCAAGGTGGAAGCAGTATCTGCTGCAGAGCCACGCCAACCAGGAGAGCAGCAGGAGGAATCGTCAGTACGGAATCTTCCTAGCGTGAGTCCGGCATTTTTCTCAAATGTGCCCAGCTCTAACAGAACCGGCCCTCTTGCCTCGCAAGCTATTGCTGGGATATCTCCAAAGCCTGTTGCGAGACAGCGACCTGCACCCCCATCAATATCACCAAGCCAGACCTCTTTGGTGTCGCCGCCACCGCAAAGGCCGTTATCAGCACCTCACTCGGCCCAGTCAGTTACTTTCCCGCCTCCAGCCTTGGCACCTCAGATGACTAGCTCTGTTCAAGGACAAGTAGCACCTCCAGGCCAAAGCCTCGGCGATATTGCCCAAGCCAGGTTCCAACAACAGTACACCTCCCAGTTTCAACAGTTACAGCCTGCAATGAATAGCTATATCAGCGTCCAGCCGCCGGGCATAACATCCTTCTCCGCCGGCATTCCAGGGCAGCAACCATTTATGCATTCTATGATGACAGGCGTTTCTGGGAATCTCAATCGGCAAGCTCAATTTGCGCCAATTCAAACGCAACCGACAGGGTACCAAGCATCATTCCCATCTTCAATTTCCGGATTTCCACAAGGTATGACGGCGACTGGCAACATAAACAGCTTCTTACCCCAAGCATTGGAACCGCAAAGTACAGGAGTTCAAGGCATACAGCCTCAACCAACTAGTATGGCAGGTGGCAGTAGCTTCTCCCAACCATTGCAGCCACAAAAAACAGGGCCTCCGCCTCCGGTTCGCTTCGGAATCTCTTCAGATCCGAAAAAGCTCACCCCCCACCAAACTGGTAGACGAGCTAACTTATCTCAAGCAAGTAAGTACAGAACGCAGTCATCCAAAAATATTCTGTGTCTTATCTAATTCTCAAAGCTCCTGACAATCCTTTCGGTTTTTAATGCCTAATTTACACAGTGCTGGTCCCTGGAGCAGCTCATGTGTGTTATGTCGGCAGTTTCGACTTGTCATCCTGCCGTTGAACTGCAGTTATGTGTTTTCTATTCGCCATGCTGGGCGCCAATTGAATGAAACACTTCATTTCTCGTGCAATGGGTTTAAATCGCCTTTCGTACTCGCATCGAAACATAGTGGCTATTAAAGCATTCTAGATAGCGTACGGCTTTCTTTCCGTTCTTATTTGTTGACAAAAACCTGGATGGGGTAGCATTCAGATATATCAGATCTCTCTCCATTTGACCGCCACGCTGTACTGTTTTGATTCTCTAATCGCAAGAGCGTTTAATGGCGGCACGTACCGATGTTCTATTCTTTTACTTGGACACGGAACGGTGATTCGATACAATTTGTACATATCATGCGATCGCAGTGGAGAAGATTTAATGACTACAACATTCACCTATATATATTATCAAGTTTCAAATTTTTCAGGGTTTTACCTAATTTAATTCTCAAGTTAAGTAAGAAAATACAAAAAAGTCAGCCAGATCATGTAAGTAAGACATCTGGTAACACTATATTTTAGCCGTACCTAGGCCAGAAAACCGCAACAGACCAAGTAATAAGATTCACCTGTGTCTAGTAAGAAAACGCAGTTGAGGACACACATGTTTCCTTGTCAGCAAGAGGATCAAAACACTCTGGTCATTGTATCATCAGATGTAGCCGGAGCAGTCAAAATCGTATTGGCTAAACTTCCATTCTAATACACAAGCTGCTGAGACTGACCGTTGCCTTACGTATCTAGAACCATGTATTCGAAATACGGAAAACATCAAAGGCATCAAAACCTGCATGCGCGAACATTGTATACAGTCTGAAGGACTATCAAAGCGGCAGGCATGATGAAACAGAACCTGATTTGTTCAATGCCCTTCATTTAAGCCTTTCGTCGATGCAGCTTCGCGGGTCCACTAGAGACGGCAGATGCAACAGAGGACATGTCAATTTCCACCTCAGTCTGGGATTGCTGGCCGGGTTCGAAACGCTTGCGAACGGCCTTGATCATCATGACGAACCAATAAAAGTTCAGGCCATTTAGAGTAAGGTTGCTTGCCAGGTAAACAGCCCCAAGCCACGGCGGTATGGTGGACACATCAGTTGCAAACTGCATGGTCATCAACTGTAGTGATGAGGGAGAGGGGTGCCGGCTTATTGCACCCCAGATATCCCGGAATACCATGACTGACTGGTATGTACCGTATATCAACCGACATGAGAAGAAGCTAAATAAGAGGAGAAATCCGTTGTATAGTTGAGCCTTCGATCCCGTCATGCCAAGCTTGTCCATGAACCAGTGGATGTTTAGAAAGGGTGTCGACAGCTCCCAAAGAATGAAAATGCATCCATAATAGTTAACAAATGGCCGCTGTGGAAAGTTAGCAAGTCCATCATCCTTAAAGAAACCCCCTTTGTTATTGTCACTGGAGATAGGTCGGGGGTATTGCCTTACAAAACCAAGGGAGAAGACGAGCAGAGCCGCAATCGCATGTGCCAGAGTTCCAAGTCCAAATACATCCAGGTTCATGCTGGTGACGAGGAGGTCCCATACAAAATACCCTGCGGCCAGAGCCTGAATCATGCTTGTCGCGCCTGTATACCCCCATATGCGCTCTTCCCATGACATTTCTCTCCTCTCGTCATCTGCAACCATGACCCAGATTGCTAGACCATTAATCAGTGTGGCTTGGATCATCGACACGACATGTGCATCCCAGTTCAGGCGTCTCTTCCGAGGCAGTGTTCTGTAGTATTTGGGTGCTAAAATCTGAGATACAATTGGCGAGACCAGATAGAAAATAACGGAGTAGAACAATGCACCGAGGATAATTTCGTGTATGTGCAAGGATAACGTTGGCAGACTAAGCCAGTCGCACCAGGGCTGTACCATTTTAACCAACCATGGCAGTGGTTCGATGAAGAAGGGGTCCTTCATGCTATAATGATTGTCTCCGGACCTCCTCCACGCTTACTGAATCCTTGTATCTTGGCTATGTACGGGTGCAGCTCTTGAGCGCGGTTGAAATGAGCTTGAGTGATGCGTCGAGTAGGTACTCAAACAGGCGACAATATGGGAGTTTTGGCAAGAATAGTTAGGTGCCTGGGTACCTAGGTAGGTATGCTTCGGTAGTGGTATGTCACCAGGCAGGACAATGGGGAATGGATGTCTGCAAGTTGGCTCTTCGTAATGTCGCCTTGCCTGGCAATATATATTGTTCCGCGTCTTAGGCTTGTTAGGCTTACTAGCCATCAAATCAGTCCAGACGTCCCACGAAAGGTGCTTGCGGGTCGGGTGGCCGTGGGTTCACGGTGCTGTCCGGGCCAGAATTTGTTGGGGAAGGCCTGCACGTGAGGTCTCCGCCTGGCTGTGTCATGGGCAATGTTATTAATTGATACTTCCAGCTGTCCAAGATCCCGAGACTCCACAGTGCACGGAGCTCTGTTGGACAAACGGAACATCAGAAAGCCTCAGCGTGGACGTCGCTGCTTGGTTTCGATATTCCTGGGAAGTTCCTGTCGATCCAGCAATGAGTCTACCGCTCACATACACATACATTCAAACTTGGTTTTTACTTGCATGCTCGGAGAGTGGTCCTTTATGATTATCCATTGTCTTGGCTGTTTCTACGTGGCCAATGAGTGCGCTCCCGGATCATGAACCAGTATTTGGGGGGGTTGTGCTGGAGTGCTGCTGCCTTTGTCGTGACAGAAGCCTCACTGTGACACGCCGGATGGCTCTGTCGCTTGGGGTAGCGTAACAATATACGTATTTACTCTGGTGTCGTGACTGCGTCCACCAGTACTAGTCCTTTCGGTGTCGACTCACGTCTGGTAGGGCATAATGGGGCGAATAAGCAGGTCTCATGTGGCTGATGCCACTATGTCCGTGTGATGCCGAGGCAGCATACGGAACGCTTCTTTGGCCATCAAGGGCTATGAAGCATAGATTGGCCCAGGTGCTTGTGGTTCGTTCTATGCTGGCTGGGGTCTTCAACTTATCAGTACTTTGACCAAACTTTGTGCCTCTCCCGCCTTGCTTCTCGGCCCCTCATTTATTTACTCAAGTACCTAGTACCTAAGCTGTTCCTGCGCTGTGTGTTTCCCTTTGTCCGACTACTGCGGGCACGGTGTACACAGATACGCGAGGGGCCTATGGACAAGGGAAAATCTGGATAACCACAAAGAAGGCGGGCGAAGGGAAGCAATGGGCAGGGCAGTAATATTAAAGCGAAAACACACGAACATAACCGAAACACGTGGCTGGGACATAGGGTAGGCGGAGGCTGTGACGGACATATCCGCTGATGGGGGGGTGTTGCGGTCCACTTGCGTTCACCAAACTTGGCCTGTTGTTCATTCACCAGTGTGGCCAACCACACACCAAATACCGGTACACGTTGACTGCAAATACCGAGCCTGGTATTACAGACCCGGGAAAAAGCCGCCTTTATCATCAATAAGCAGTGGCTGCACTCGAGTACCACTGGCTGGCCATGTGTACAGGCAGCTGCGAGAAAACGAGGCAGGCAAGTGATGTGGTTCCGGCGCTTGGCACTCAATCCTAAGATAGAGGGAGACACACACATACAGAGAGAACTCGACCTGAGCCACTGCGCAAAAAAGGTGGCACCTGTTGTCTGCATGCCACAGCCAATTCCTTCAACATGGCAGAGGCCTTGAGCGAGCGTCTCCTGGGACCGGGAAAAGCACTTGATGCGACCACATTATCTTATCTGACCTACCTGGCGGGACAATCAGTCGAGTCCATACGAACCACAGAACCACAACAACTCTCACAAGCATCAAATTCGTTGCTGTTATCCGTGCAATCATTGTCCAAAAAATCACATAAGCCCATTGTCGAATCAGCCGCTAGTCACTCAGCGCTACGCCAGCTGTTTCCCTTGCTGGCCAAAAGAACAGGCGAACTGACGCATACAGTCCCAAGGCTTGACCTGGAGGCAGAACTATTCTCTTCCGAGTTTGGCAAAGCCAGCGAGAACAACACAATCACGGAGCGGAAGAAGGCACTCCGTCTCCTACAGAATGGGGAGAGACTAGTCGATATGATGGAGCTCCCACAGCTTCTTAACTCTGCTGTCACATCCAGCCCGGTCAGTTACTCGTCCAGTCTGGACCTGTATGCGCATGTTCGTCGCCTTGCATCCCTATATCCATCCTCGCCTCTTGTCGCATCGGTGCTGGATGAGGCAAATTCAGCCATCAGGCGAATGGCAGTCGACCTAATAGCTACACTACAAACACCCAATCTCAAACTCGCCCCAAGCCTCCGTACGGTGGGCTGGCTCAAACGAATTGTCCCCGAGCTCGTTACCAATATCCAAACAGAGGAGTCACTGCCTGCGTTATTCCTTGTGTGTCGACTTTGCACACTGATTGCTACCCTAGACGCACTGGACCCTTTAAAACAATTGGCAGACGAGGAGCGCATACGAGACGTCAAGATATCTCAAGCATGGTCCGGTGGCCAGCACACTGAGCGGTATCTCAAGCGGTTCATTGAAGTATTTCGCGAACACAGTTTCGGCATAATTTCGGTTTCCAAAAGCGTGGATGCCAGTTTCTCCCACGCGGACAGCGCAGCAACCGACCCGATGAAACCTCTGCCTAGTGTCCTTACTAGCTTTCCGCTGCACCTGATAGGTCTTCTGATGAATACCTTACAAACGTACCTACCCGTCATCAAAGATCAAGCCTCAAGAGAGAGCATTATGACGCAAGTTTTGTATTGTGCTGGAAGTTTAGGTCGGCTAGGCGCTGATTTTGGGATGTTCCTGTCGGCTATTGGAATGGTGGAATGGGTAGAGCTGGTCAAACGACACAGACTGTTAGCAGGCCGACTTGAGTCCGTCATTGGCGAACACCGGACCAGCCAGACCACCCCCACGAGCCTGGTTACTAGAAATATGCATTAAATGGTGTGGCATTAGGTTGATCGCTAAGGTTGATGTTCACGCGCAGCCCCTGTTTTTGGTTAGAGCAATGAAGCATAAGGGGGCTTTTTCATACATCTATTTTGTTTCTGAATTTCTCCCCAGAGCTTCGAGAAATTTTATGGGGCCCAATAGACGCCGTGCTGTTGTTGCTAGGCTACTACCTAGGAGGCGGTTTTTTTTTTTAGTCACTATTACTAAATTATCAGCTGTAATAATATAGCTTATTAGAGATTTTTATTTAATATATTAGACCTTCAATAGCTGGTGATAATTTAAGACCTGTCTTATGATAGTTGTGCTGTCACTAGAAGTAAGGGCCGTGTATGGGTACCTTTTTAATGTAGGTGCTTCTCACGTAAGCCTGTGGTTGATCTGACCTGCACCCGGCTCCATCCCATCAGCTGCGCACACCACGTGCTCTCATAACAAAGCCGCGTTTTCCAAGAACAGCAGCAAGCTCTTTGCCAGACGTATCCATCCAGTGATATTGTTTGTAGAGCCTACAACACAATGGGGATCTCCTTCCCAAGGAAATGAAAAACAATAACACGCCTGTGCGAGCTAAACCAGGTACGAAAACAAAAGCATCAGGGGGTAAGGTAACGTTTGCCGCCAAAACTTACAAATCGCCTGCAGCGCAACACTTCGTTTCTGGGCTTGGCTCTGGAATAGCATCTGCGGTTATACTGCAGCCCCTAGACCTGCTTAAAACTCGAGTGCAGCAGTCTGGTACCTCGTCTCTTTCCACCTGTTGGCAAGATATACGCCACTCTCCCCACGTTGCGCGCAGTCTTTGGCGAGGAACTGTACCTTCCGCCCTCCGAACCGGGTTTGGATCGGCTTTGTATTTTACTTCCCTTAATGCCATACGCCAACACGTACGGCAGAAAAATATCCTGGGACAGCACCACAACAAACAAAATGCCTCCTCGGCACTCCCTACTCTTACTATTTGGGCGAATCTAGCCTCTGGTGCCGTAGCCAGGACCTTCGCAGGCCTTGTTCTCATGCCCCTGACCGTCATCAAGGTTCGATTCGAGTCCAACCTTTACTCTTACACATCGGTTGTCTCTGCCGCTGCTGATATCCGGCGTCGAGACGGGTTTCGGGGCTTTTTCTCGGGGTTTGGGGCTACGGCCATCCGAGATGCGCCATACGCGGGAATGTATGTGTTGTTTTATGAAGTGCTTAAAACCCAACTCGGCTCGATAGCCGCTTCTACAATTCGTATTGAAGGCAAACAACACAAGATGACGGCATCAATGGCAAGTACTGTTAATTTCGCATCCGGAATCTTAGCCGGTGCCGCTTGTTCTGTTATATCAAATCCTTTCGACGCAGTTAAGACCAGAATCCAGCTACAACCACGGCAATATCGGAATGTGTGGCAAGCAGGGTATAGAATGATCACCGAAGATGGTCTGCGTTCTCTTTTAGATGGGCTGGCTTTGAGAATGAGCCGAAAAGCGCTCAGTTCTGCATTGGCCTGGACGGTGTATGAAGAGCTCATTCGTAGGTTTGGTGCGTCATGAATGTCTAATAGCAAATGTATCCCATGGAGGTAAAACAACCCAACTCGGTATATATATGCAAATAGAGCAACTCTGAATGGTGGGCTAGCTAATGAAATATCTCCAAAGGGAGGAACAGAGAGAAATAAAGAAGACAAGGAACGAAGCAACCTCAGGGCGATCATACAATCCACTCCAATTATAAGAAATGACAAAACAAAGACGAGCATAACTTCTGTAAAATTTTTGTGAACAGGGCTGTCCACAAGAGGCAATTTGACACAGATCTCGAGAGGAAAAAAAAGGAAAGAAAGAAAGGTTTATTGTTTCCCCCCTCCCTTTTTCCAAAAAAAAAGGGGAGGAGGCGATAGCGGGAAAGGGCAAAAACAAAAAAGACAGAAACGCCAAAGCGAGAGCAAAACGGAGGCCCTTTCTTGCGACTCATTCTTGCTACTCCCCCCTTAGGCAGGCTTGGCTCCGGCTAGATACATCAGAAGACCACCAGGAGACTTGCTCCTTTTACGATCACTCTTCTTGCGAACCCACTCAAACTGAGGTTCGTGCCGGTGTGTCTTTTTCTCTTCGATCAACAGAGTGCTACTTCGTTTCTCACGGATGTATTTTGTGTGCCGCCAGAATTGATCCTGCTCCCACTCTGGAACCCACCGCTTAATCAGGATATACTCGGGGTCCTTGTTTATTCCAATTAGAAACCGATCAAAAATTCTCAAAGACCATCGACGGATAATTACTAACATTGTCCATGTCAAACTCGATATGGAAGGCCCTTAGGGTCTCGATGGACAAATGCCTACGGGCCATTCGAGTATAGGTGGGCCTTTGGCCTGGCTCAAGTGCATTCGGTACCTTTTTTTTTTCAAGAATGGCCGAAATGGCCTTCTCGTCCAGGCCAGATTTCAACAAGTCTTCCTGCATGCGACGTTTGTATTCCTTTTCTTCCTGTTCCTTGCGTAGTTTTTCCGCAGTCATTCGATCCGCCTCGAGTTTCTTGTAGCGTTCTACTGCCTCGGCAGCCTCCTTGTCGCGGCGCTTCTTTTCTTCCGCCGCCTCCTCCTCTTCTTTCAACCGTTTCAGCTCCAGCTCTCTCTTGATGCGCTTCTCCTCCTCGGCCCGTGCCTCAGGCTGTTTAATCTCGTCCAGTTCCCTCTTGGCACGTTTCAGTTCGGCCTCATCTCTAGCCTCTTTTATCAAGCGACGTTCCTCCCTATCCCGCGAATTCTCAAGGCGAAGTCGCTCAAGTTCACGGCGAGCAAGTTCAGCCTCCCATTCCTCTCGAGTAAGGCGTGACCTCGACCTCGACCTCGACCTCGAATCGGAGCTGCGACGACGATGAACGACTTGGCGACGTCGTCGATAGTCGTCATCATCATCTGAGGAGTGCTCGCCGTAGAACCGGTTATTGATAATCACTGGCTGCGCTGGGGTTGGCACAGGGCTGGGCGGGTTGGCTCTTAGATCACGGGATCTATCGTGGGAACGAGAACGCGCAACGACGGTAGTGTGCTGTTCCGGGACTAGATAGCTAGGTCCAGCAGGTACACCATAATAATTCCGGGGTCGCTCGACATATCTAACAGGCCGAGGAGAGTGGCCATGGTGACGGATGCGAACATTCACATCCTCGTCGTCAGAATAGTAACTCATAATTAATTACCACGACGTTATATAATCCACGCGATGGAGACGATCGCCTTTAAATGATGAATATTAGAATCGTCGCCAGCCAAATTCATGCGGAGAATCTCGAAGAAAAAGTGTGAGCGAAATACAAACAAGGTGGAAAATCTGAGACCAAGTTCGCCTTGATTATCTGTAAGCAAAGACGCATGAGAGGGTTGAGGGGGGACTGAAGGCCAAGGACATTTCTCTCGTAGGGCTGGAGTGCCAGGGGGGGGGGGGGGGGGGGGCCGGGGGGGGGGG